ACTGGCAGGTCCAGCTTTGGGTGTAACCAGTACTATATCCCCCCCCCCCCAAAAAAAAGAAAGAAAAAGAAGTCAAGGTTTTCTCTGAAATCACATTCTTTATACTCTTCTGATACACAGCAGGTTGACTTCTGATTGCATTATGTTATTACATGTCCTCCTTTTGAAAATCCTGGACCCACCAGTGATTGTATTTAAATTTTATCAGTCTATATATATAGATATGTTTAAAAATAGATACTGTGTAGATATAAAGAAAGATAAACCGTTTAATACATATATTGTAGTTAACTATGAATCTTTAAGGTAAGAAATTGACTATAATTTTCATTCTAACTTTTAATCAACTTTACTTAGACATTAAATGGTAGCTTCACAATTGTTTCTGGATAAAATATATTTCAGGAAGAGCTTTATCAGATAAAAAAACCTAAAAAGTTCTACATTATTCATACATAAAAATATAACAAAGTGTTTAAAAAGCACACGTTCTTTCATCAGCTTAACCTAGCATCAGCGGATGAGTTATGTACTAAATAAAAATTCCAGGATTCCTCAATTAAATAGGTTATGGTAGAACATGTGTAAATATTACACATAGTTTAAGTACCTTAAAAAACTGAAATGGTTCGTTTTGATGATGTATTTCAACTGAGTAGTTTTTTCCTGCACTTAAACTTGAACAATTGGACTTGAAATTAAGTTTTTGTAACTACTAGACTAAAATGAAGATAAGAATTTTTTTTTCAAATTCCAACTGTTACTTAATGATTTGTTGACCTTTCGTAAGTTAGGAAGGAACAAAACTTACCTTCAAAACATCATTTCTATCTTTTCTTCGAGCCCAAATGATAAATAAAAAGTAAATTCCCCACACAATACAGACAGAGCAGAGGACAATTGCATTAATCGTCATGTTTTTTAAAAGTTTGGGGATAGTTCGAAGTTGAATAGTGTTTGGAGTAACCAAAAAACTGGCAGCAAAGACAGAAAGATGAGAGCACATACAATGGATAGTTGTTTCAGTAGTTTGTGGTCCAACCTAATCAACAAAATAAAACAACTATAGTATTACATGCTAATACTTTAATCTTATTTTAAACTGGTTGTTCTAAAGAAAATATTTATATAAGTATTGGAAATAATTACAGAAATCCACAAGTGATACATATACAAAAGTCACAAGTAATGAGTAACTGCACCTAAATGGTGAATTTATCATTAGTACAATACATTATTACAGTAAACACAAAAATAAATGCAATTACTTTGTATATGCTTTGAAGACAGCAGTACCTCTTGTTTTTCTATTCAACCATATGATTATAAAATACTGTTATGACAGCGGAAGTCACGTGATGCTGGTAACATGTCATGAGCTTCTAGAACGTTCATGTCCCTTCCTGAAGTCTCGAGTGTTTACTAGATATGCGGTATTCTTGTATATAAGCCACCAAGAAGTGACGGCAACAGTGTGTAGTTGAATTGCAGACAGAGATAGAGATGGATAGTTGGGTCGAGCTCGTGAGTCGTTCGTTGTGTATTATAGTGTTTGTTTAACTTATAGCGTGACTGTGGAAATTAAGTGTATTGCAAAGTTGTA